TTGCGCCAATCTTTGTTCTTGCTCCCTTTAAGATAATAAAGAGAACTATATGTGTATAATAAATGAATAATGGTTAGCGATGAAATCTAAAATGGGTATTCTATCAATTTTATGAACTAATTCTCTGGACGTTCCTAAATTGATATTCAAATAAAGCAAGTTATTAGAATAAAAATTCTATCAAAAATATCCTTCAATAATATGATATGCATAGTTAAAAGCTTTTAATTCACTTAAATAATATTCAATATAATTTAGAAAATTATAATAATTTTAGTATCCTAATTACAAATTATTTATGCTTCAATCAACTGTAAAATGTAAACATACACGTAATTATATAGGCTGTATAGATTTAAAAAGTAGTTTAATAAATGAGTTTGCATAGTTGATCATTTAATTATTTTAAAAAAACAAACATATTGATGAGCTTTCTATTTTAGAATAAATAAGGTTCTGAAACTAAATCCATGGTAATGTTATTCATTATGAAAACAAACCGATATTCTGGAATTTTTTAACATTCCTAAATGCTCATCACAATTGATTGATCACTGGGTGGTGATCAATGTCATGCTTGTCTAGTCCTTATTAGTGCAGATCGAATGCTATCGATCATGCTGCAATGTGGCCACCAGTCTAGGTTACTGGACACTGCGGGCACTATGTATTGAGATTTAGATGGTGGTTGGAGGTAGATTATCTCCAACCACCATCTAAATTCCTAAATGCTAAAATAAAATATTATTCAATATGGAATGTTACTATACATAATTTTATATATAAGTTATTAGTATGATAGTGTGTTGTGTGCTACTGATATCGACAAATATAAGTAAGATGTATCATCAATTAAAAGTGAAATGCCTGGAAATAGAGGGTTAATATGATCAAAGAAAAAAAAGAACAAGAACAAAGAATGATTTGTGTGAAAACGAAAGATATTTGCAAAAGGAACAGTAAAGTTTGACATTTTGCAATTGAAGTATTTACTGTATAGTTCTCAGATTATACTAAGATGTTCTGTAATTTTGTATTCAAACACATTAGCTTGTCCACTATTGTAGTCTCGTTCACCTCAATATTACTCAATAAAGAAGAGAGTGATTCATTTCGGAATAAAATAATTACTGAAATATAAAGTTAATTACAAATTTTCCATGTTTTAAATGAATCCCGTCTAAAAATCATTTGAACGATGTTAATTTTTTTCACATAAGAATCATATAACTTTGCTTTAGTAACCAATAAAGTCAACTAGATTAAAAATGAGGCAGCCAGATATAGATAGCTATCAAATGACTCTCAAGTTGTACGGCAATCAATAAATATGGACTATTGGATTCTAATTGAAAATATCTATACCGTTGAATATCCAAAATCAGTCTTATGGTCGTACACTTTTCACTATTCTAACTAATCAGCGGACAAAATATATTACATCAATATCATCAGATTATGGTCAATAATTAGTAAAAAGCTATCCGTATAGAAATCTGACAGTAGATAACAACCTAACGAAAACTGATCAATCATCACCTATTAGATATTTTAGACATACATGTTAAAAAACATGAAAGTTAACGTGACACTGAAAGTCAGGAAATGAAAATTTCACATTTCAAAGCAATGCTTTTAGAATTATATTCTCATTCAGAGCATCAGTAGGTAGATGAAATTAAGATGTATTTCGTTTCAGATTAGTTTATTTGCTAATTGTGCCAATATTAATGAACAGAACCTTAATCTTACTAATTAAACTAAAATTTCTAATCATTGTTCATATTCATGCAAATTGTTGAGTATCATGTTTCAAATAGGAATAATTATTTAGAAGTGTGGAATTTATTTTAATACTTTCCCTATCCCACTATCCCCTTGTACCCTTCTCCCACGAATTAGCAACGTCATTTTGACTGATCAATGAAATTTTTCTAATTGGATCATAAGACTGATGATTTTGCATTGTCAGTACTGAATTTAATTCATTGTTGTTGTCTGTCATATATATTTCAACCAATGAAACTGATATGGTTTTTATAGAGATGTTTGTTGGTCTAGGATTTCCGATGGAAGTAGAATTCCTGAGATAAAGAAAAATCCTATGAAAATATGACTTTCTACCATTTCATAATACGGGTCTGTAATCCAAATCACTTTTAATATAGAATATGTATCCATAACACAAGATTGCCCTCAGCCACCGACAACTCAAGCGACAAAAAGGTTTGTTTCATAGTAACTTCTTTATCAAGTGATATGGATAGGTTGTTGGTTATGATTCTGAAACTAATATATTTGTTCGGCCAATAGGAGGCTTTTATGCAGTTTCTTGATAGTCAGTGGGTACGTGGTCACGATTTTCTGAATGTCGCTTATGAGAAAGACCCTCATTGCCATCATTCGACAGCTGATCAAAAGAATAAGACTGGCTTTCTATTGATATCCGGAACTATAGCTCTGACTGGCATCGCTTTTGTACATGAAAATTACGGAATAAATATAATCACCCACGACATGAGACAACATTCGTCTATACTGAACACTTGTTTAAACATGTTCGGATGTCGCTTTTGTATAGAGTAAGAATATGAGACGCTGTGGACTGGGTGAATTATTTGTACAAGTAAACAATGTACGCATCCTCGTTTCATTTAAAGCGACATTGCAACACACTATCCTACTATTCGCTACACCTTTACAGTTAATTTCATCATCTGTACTTTTACTTAAATAATTAGCTAAACGATTATTACGTCATTATGGTATTATCATGATGAGCGATTGCCCAACTACATTGGATTACTCTACTTTGCGTTATTACTTTCAAACATATATACACACAGCGCTCTTAAATAAGTTTATACATACATTTTGTATCCTTATCTTTTAATTGTTATGATTTCGGTCACGTTTCAAAATTTTACCTAGACTTCAAAAACTAGACTATATCAAAGACATTTGTTAATAATTATGTGAAAAATTGCAATTTCGGGTTATATGTTGCTAATGAGAAACCGTGAAATAAAATGAATGAACGTTATTGTTCTTGCTTAGTTTTAAGTTATCATTGGATCTGGTCATATGAGTTTATTACATCGGCATTCAGTTCATTCAATTCCTCTTGTAGCTCTTCTAGGGTTACTGCCGGACCCAAAACAGGTAAAAGAATAGGGTAGGCAACCCCATCTCGTAGAAAACAACTTTGCTAAAAAAAACCTAACCAGAACAAACAATTTAAACTCTGTCCTCCTAGTTAAACGGTCTTCATTCAAAAGAATTATGACGAATCATAGTAAAAGCCGAGATTCTTCGGAAGTCACGAGGCCAATGCCCCTTCCAACAACCAGAGCAACAATTAATATAGGTACGTGGAATGTCCGGACAATGTAGGAGACCGGAAAGACCAATCGAATAGATCAGAAAATGAGGAGATGCAACTTGACGGTTCTCAGAACAAGTGAAAACCATTAGAAGAATTCTGAACAGAAAACGTTAGATTCCAAAGAGATGCTTTTGAACTCTGATCACGAAGAAGAAAATGCCTCACACACAGTGAGCTGCACTGATACTGTCTAAAGAAGCACGAAATGCACTTATTGGATGGGAACCTCATGGATCGAAAACCATGAAAACGTCATTCGGAGAAAGGAGTATGGAATGACAATGAGTGTTATCCAGTGCTATGCACCCAGAAATGGTAGAAATGAAGACGACAAGGATCAGTTTTATGAGAGACTATAATCGATTGTAGAGAAGTGATCAGACCATCCTGACGTGAGACGTAAACACCAAAGTCATAATGGACAACACGGGATATGAAGATATCATGAGACGAGATCAATTGAATGGGAGAAAGGAGTTGGAATAATGAGAGATATTCAAATTTATGTGCATTCGACAATAGCTTACTGTGAGAGAGAACAATCCAGCTTCCAGTTGAAGAGGAAATTAGGAAAAGTTGTTGGAACTGTATAGGACATACATTTAAGAAATCATCAAACTGCATCACGACACAAGCGTCATCTTTGTATCCTGAAGGGAAATGGAAAAGACTAAAGAAGAAGAAGAAGACCAAAGAACACATTGTGTCGAGAATTGTAAACAGACATAAAAAGGATGATTAGCAATTGGAAACAAGTGAGAAATATTTCTATGAACAGATATGAATTGAGAATGCTGGTGAGTGGCCTATACTCCTCCATAATAGATAACAGGCGTAAATAACTAATCAAATTTATTCGCCAAATTCTTAATAATTTTAATGTACTGGTGTCCACATTTTGTTGACTTTCCACATCAAATGAGTTTCATTCCCATAATACACAGGATTAACTATGAAACGTGTTTTAACAAGCGTTTAGCATTGACTTGTTTCAAACCTTATACTTCTTTGATAATCAACACTTTCATTGTTGAATTGCTAGCACACACTAGTATTCTGTCTTTTCGTGGATAGAAGCTAAATATGGTTAATCGTCTTCATTCATTAATAAGTTTTGGTAACTAAAAATTTTACTTCTCCAATTATGTGAACCGACTGAGGCAACTTTTACAAACTGTGATAAGGATCGTTCAACGAAAATTATCCATTTTCCATGGAATCTAACCAGTTAGACTGGAATAAAAAGCTTGCGCATTGATCAAATTGTGGCTATTTTGTCTAAATTCTATTCTTCATCATTTCGCCCCGTAGGAAACATCAGACCAAATTTCATGATTTGATTAGTAAGGCTTTGATTGGTTTACTGAGGAATTTTATTGTGTCAATTTTTCGAAGTCTATAATCAATTGAAATGTACATAAAAGATATTTCTCAATTTCCCTATAAAACTCAGAACAGTCCAAAAAAATCAATCGTCACCCGAACAACAGACGTTTTTCAATTCATTTGTCTTATAATAGCATTGTCAGGACAGTATTATATAAGCCAATCAATGTTTATCATTATCTGTTGTTGTATAATCATGTCCATAAAAATGTTTAATTTATGTCTGTATATGTGTGTACACATGGGTTACATATGACCAAATGTTGTTTGGTATTTAAAGCCTCAAATACTACTGACTATCATTTTAATGGCGTCAATTATATTGCGTAAATTTTATCAACAGTCTGTAAGTGTTATTTTTATATGATTTCATTCATTATATTTATTGAATAACTAACAGTATATTTGATGTGGTTAAAATATGGGATAATATTTACATTCAGTAGATTGAAACTGAACTACCTCATTGTTCTATTTTTTATTTCGTTAATATGTTAATCAGATTGCAGTGGAATACCTTCGAAATATTTCTTGTACTTCGTACAACAGTTGTTTTGATAACCTTTATCATTATGGCACAACACAGATCAAACGACCACTAAGCACACGATGAGAATACGAATAAATGAATAGGAATTAAGAAGTGCATAAGCAAATACGTAAGCATGCAAATGAGTCATCGAGCGCTTTGAACAACTAACATTTAAGCTAGGTAGAAAGAGGGTAGTAAATTAATATCGTGATTCAAAGTTAGAAGTTAGGGTTCTGAATCAGAGATAGGATTTTCATCATGGACTGATATCGGCTATAATGCGAAATTGCTATTTGACCATAATAATAAATGAATTTTGAACCATAATCCAAGACTCACTATCTTGAATCTGATTGGTTTGTCCACTCATAATTTCTCCCTATATGTAAAAATTACCTATAAATACAATTATGCAGCTAAATAAATAATGTCGTCTAAAAGAATGCTTTTGTTCCTCGCTGAAATGTCTTCATTCTTTCAATGAATAAATGGGTTTCTTTAGTCGTTAGAATATTCCTTACATTATTACTTGACCGAGCTCTCTTAAATGAATTGATAGTGTGAGTGTTTCTGTACTTAGATAATGTTGCTGTTTCTATAGTAATCTTATTTTCTACTAATAAGTTCCACTGCATACGTATTTTAACGTATATATTTGAAATAGAATATTGTTAGAAACAGCATTAATATTATACTGATTATTTCTTCACTGACTAATACTAATTCTAAATTGAGAGGCTGTAAACTCCACTATAATCGTTATCTTTTATTAGATAAAGATTAAAATGAATTATTTACCTTTTAACATTTCCATTGAAGGTAAACTTTATGATTGGGATTTTTAAAATCTCATCTTTTTATTTAGTCCCAGTCAATTAAGATATTTTCTTATGCAAACAAATTTACTTGGCTTTAAATGATCATATCAACTCTATTTGACCTAGGCAACGATATCACAGCTTGTGTTTACTAATATTTTTTATCTATCAGTAATAAGAAAATAAGTCGTTTACAAAAGGTCAAGTTGTTATCACTTTGTTCGTGTCAACCTTACAAGAAATGTTTTATTTAAGCGCCAAGCAAGTGCCGTGAATAGTGGTCTTTTCTAGCATTCTCACCATTTCATTGCAGATATATAATCTGATCGTTTGCTCACTTTCAAAGCAATTCTAGGGGACAATGTTATATTTAATTAGAATAAAAAGAAACCACATGTAACGTGTGTAGCATATCTTTAGCCACTGAAGAAATAGTTCAAAATGACGGAGACTTTTGTATTAGCAAAATCATTACTATGAATTGTGCACCAAATTTAGTTGCTGGGCGTACTTTAATGAGTGATTGGTTTAAGATATGGTTAACATTTCAGAAATAAAATGTGAATGATGACTTTGATTGTCAGGAATACTAATATTACGTTTAGTAGAAGTATTACTTGCTTATTTACACATATTACTGTTTATGGAGCAATGGCGAGGGGTGAATACGATTCTCTCTCGGATTTTGGCGTTTTCAATAATAATAACTTTTTGCTGTGTAGTACTTTGAACTGCGATTCAAATTTCTCTTCCAAAACAAGGTTATTTGAATCTCACCTGAATGATAGGGTGTTATTACCAGCTTTTCAGATGCCAGAATTATTGTAGGTCCTAATATACTGTGACTTTTACAGTGGTTTTGGAATTTCACGAGATATCCATTCTCCATCAGTGTTTCGCTTAATAGCCTCACCTCGCCTCAAATAGTATTATCTACACAAATGAGGTCGATTTCATTGAATCGCTTATTTATAGAGTCATGTTTTTATGAAGCCGCACACTAACAGTGAAAAAGAAAATACTGCCTCTTCATATATTGTGTTATTAATATCGTATAGTACTGTTGGGATATTCAGGAAAATATCCCAAAAATTATCCTGTTAAGCCTAATGCTATCCTTGGACATGAAATGGTATCATCTTATTGATCAATATTTATTTAACGTGTCATTTTCCTGTTGGCCAATATTGTACAATGTTATTTTCTATTTTATGGTACGTTGTGCACTGCTTGATTGATATATAAACAGTGTGTTTGGAATATAATGATTCATATATCCGAGGCTGTGACTTGCGTTCTGGACTTAACTGGCTGGGCTGGACAGGGAAGCGGGACCAATCAGAACCTTAGGCCGTTCTACGTGTTTGTGCGTCTTTGGTCCGATCGATAATTCGCTACCCCCTTAATTCGCAGCATTTTTTCACGTCATAACAAGTACCAATAAAGTTCACATCCTCACTGCATCATTCCGAAATATCTGATTTTTAATGATTATCTGATTTCTCTTCGTGTTCCCAATTGCTTTCAAGATAAAGTGTGTACAATAAATATCGAATTTAACCTCATATTAAATTATCACATATAAAAAAGTCTGCGGTCTTTTTTGACATTAAAAATGACTATATGATTCTTACTTGACGTTTATTAAGAAGAAAGTAGTCTGGAAATACTAATATTATGTTATCTTAAAACAAAACTGAATTTTAGAGGATACTAAATAACAATCGGGAAATAAATTCACTAAATTATATTCATTGCTAGTGTGACATTTTAGTTGCAAATAACTAAGAACGCATTGTTACAGGGGCTGAAAATTCATAACATTTCCAATTTTTCTAATAGAACAATACCTACATGGGTTCTATGAAAAACAACGTGAATAATTTCAATAATTTCTTACCATTAACCTCTGTTCTTTCATAATGGCCTTGAGTAGTTACTTAATTCGATAACAAGTAAAGAATACTATTCTGAAATATACAAATGTCTTATAGATCGTTCAGAGGAACTGCAATCCACTTTCGTATATGATTTATTTTGACGTGAACCAATCAATGTTCTGACGTAAATCAATGAATTATGAAACCTATTGTAGTGTTCGTATAAGGTTACTGGGTAATGTTTACACTATACGTCAAATTAGGTTATGTAAACTACGAGACTTACAAACTTACTGTGTAGAAATGAATAACCTTAAGGAGTGCATGGCTATGATTCGGTTCTCTATGGAGTAAGGAGAGAACATGGTTGGACAATTTCAGGTGACAATACAACGTTCGTTAAATGGGTTCCTAGTTTGTCAAATGCTTAACTACAAACATATTTTTATGGTACTATCGTGAATACTGTAAGTATTATACATAACAACAATACCTTCAAGCTAAGAAACCATTTCTGAATTGATTACTATCTATTTTTCCATCATTTTTAAATCTACGCTTATCCGTATATGATAAAAAAAACCCTTTACCCCTAGATTTGTTGCTTTTACTAGTATACTGTTCTGGAAAAAAGCCTTCCTCGCGATAAATAAATTCTTTCCGTAAAAACGTGTAGTGCACGGGAAACTAACAAAATTTCTTTAAATCTATTATCTTATTGTCAATAGTTAAATATCTAGAAGGTGAATCAGACACAGAAACTTTTATTACACAGAGATTTGTTAATTAGAGTTACAAATAACAATCTTTACTGAAGTAGAGTTTATATAATAGTTCATTAAAACTTGATATTATTTTAAAACACAGTTATCGTCGTTAAGTATATAAGATAATATTTTGAAGTAGATCGAAATCGACGTAACGATATTTTCTTCATAGATGATGGACCTATATAGATAATGATATTCAACAGTCCTTAATCAAAGTAACCTATTAAAAATGTCTGTTCAAATAATTGATTTTGATATACAAAATCTAATGACCACCTATCTAATATAATGCATCAGTTTAAAGAAAAGGATATTTACTCTCTACAAATGTTTTCTTACTATATTCAGCAGTCACAGAACATGACCCATATATGTAAAAATTGCAAAAATCTCAGTTCGGTGCTACTCATTTCATCTTTTGTTTTTTTAAAAAAAACAGATTAGATGTATACAAAATGTGACATCAGTACCAATTAAAACTGTTTCAAGTTTATATTCAACTGATGTGGAACCTAAACAGAATAAATTAACATCACCTGTGAATTCATGGAATGAATGGGATCCTTTAGAAGAAATCATTGTTGGAACACCAGAATATGCGACAGTACCACATTTGTTACCTGAAGTGAAAGTAAGTTTTTCTAGTTTAGTTTAAAGTTTTATACAATTTCTAATTATCTTTGGAAATAAGAGAGGTAAAGAAAAACAATCTCTTAAAATTAATTAAACAATTACAGACTAATTTACACGAAAAACATACTTGTTTTTATTGATATACAGTTAGTAACTCTCTATATAAGTTGGATTCCATTACATTTGCATAGAAAGCATCTTATCTGGCATTTCATACTTTGAATTCTTAAGTAATAATGATAATATGTTATATGTTTTTAGAGATATAGTAAATCCCCTATCATTTCAATGTTAGCTGTTAGTGCATGTTAATATTTTTTACTTCACATAGACTTGTGCTGCAAGTGCTAAACACGATTTCTACATTCAAAATGGGGGTAAATATTGGGCTGATGTTATACCAAAAGAACATTGGCAATTGTTATGCAAACAAGTTGAAGATTTTGTTAAAATGCTTGAATTAGAAGGTATTAAAGTTGTTAGACCTGATCCAGTCGATCATAGAAAGTCATATAAACTTCTTGACTTTGAAACACAAGGTTTGTTGGCATCGTTTTAACTGTTGGTGATTTATTTTACAGTACACAGGCATTTCCTATTTATTACTTTTTATTAATTTGGAGTTCTATTGAATTAATTGAACATTAACAAAGCATATGAAACACCATCTCAAGTGTGAATGTGTCGGCCAAAACTGAGCATGATTACTTCGTGTTAGTAATTCGTCAGATGACCACTGACGATTTAACTAGTTTATGTTCATTATCATTCTATTATGGAATGATAAACATAAATTAACTGAACGTAATTACCTAGTTATTGTTATGTAAATAACAACTAACAATGATTCCTTTTGTAAATTCTCTGATTTGGAAGTTATATACTTCTTGTTGAAAGCAACGGACAATTCAATCCATTCCAAAACCATTATTGGTCACTAAACGGACTTAATTCCTATGATGTACTCTCATTTTCAAATGAACATGAGTATACTTCATAACTCAAGTCTTATTTCATTTGTACCAACATAATGTACAAGATATAAAAACTTCTAATGCTTAATCTACTTTACAACCAAGCAACAGGACCATATCTAGCTTTTTTGTGATGCTGTTCATGGCCGATGAAATTTACCGTAAAATTGAGATTTGTCTTGTGCTTATTTGTTACGAGACATTTTTCGTTGTGAACATTTCAAAAAGATGAGGGATTGTTTTACAAAAAAATGAAAGTGTTATACAGCCATATTGGTTTCCTCTAAAATATTCTTCAGACATAATGAAACAGTTTAGTTTATAATATCTAGAACTTAGATACTTACCACGCTTGAATTCTGACTAAAGATATTATACCCGTCACTAAACTCGAGGTTTGCACATTGTATCCTTGGTGACGTCATTAGTGCAAACTGACCAGGATGGTTAAGCTAGGAGGAAAATGCTATGGCGAGATAAATAATAAAGTGGAAGTGGACTGTCAGAATGGTCCTGTCTGAAGTTTTTTTTGATATCTTCGTTGTAGAATTATTAAATACTTAAACTATTATATCCTTGTATTCTCCTATTTATAAGCTGTTGTCTAACACATAAATCATTGTTGTGTGTTTTATCATTCCTAAATTATTGTTAATTTATTACGGGTCTATTAGTTAGTTCTTTTCCACCTATGACGCAGTTATACCCATAACGTAATTTCTTAGTTCTGTTGATGTGCGGTCAGGATTAGGCTCTATATTATTGTATGGGTGATTGGTGAATTCGCACTGTATAGTTAGAAGTTGACTGTTTGTTGAATTATTTGGTTGTTTAGTGTTAATCTCAACTGTTATTTCACTTTTATCGTGTCATTGGTTCGCAGAAGGTTATTATTACTAGACAGACGGACAGTCTATACGAGTTAATAAATACTGGAACTAGATCAGTATATCTACTCTCCCATTTTTCAGTTAGATATCAGGGACCCCAAACAATCAAACAAAATAGTATGTTTATTTTCACCGACAAATCAGAAACAGATTCCTTGTCTTTTCTAATTTTCAATAGATCTTCGGTTAACATCACTCGATGATGAAAATAACCTTCCAATTAAATATTCTTCACTCGCCATTCTAACTTTCTATTTATTTGTCTTCCATAAACGCTCATATTCACTTCTAACAACTTTTAAAAAAGCAAATAATCTACTAACTGAGTTTATTTTATCGAATGCAAAACATTGAAACCTTTTGTCAATTTCTGTCACTGACTACTGAGACTTTAATTTTTTTTCTTCACTCACTGCCTATTTTCTATACCCAAACTTTTGTATGCAGGCTTCTATGCTGCTATGCCAAGAGATTTCTTATTAATTGTCGGTGATGAAATAATCGAAGCGACAATGACTTGGAGATCAAGATATTTCGAATATTTAGCCTATAGACCACTTGCTTTAAATTATTGGAGACAAGGAGCCAAATGGACAATTGGACCTAAGCCAACTAATTTTTCAAAATTAATAAGAGTGAGTTATCAACAATTCCTGTCTACAGTCATTATTGTTTCGGAAAGAACCTCATTCAGTAAAGAAATGTTTTTCCTCTAGACCGAATCTTTTATTAAAACTGGACTATCGTCCACCCGATGAAGTGGATAAGCCATTTATTTGTCATCGCGTTCAACTTCATTTGATAGTTAAAGGTTATTTAGCAAAAAGATACGGAATAAGATTTTGTATTTGTTGGTACAAAATAATGAGATTTGTACTTAACCTTGATAAACCTCATGTCCCTGAAAAATAGCGGTTATTTTACCGAATAAAGTAGTCACAACGATCATGGCAGTGATTGTCAGATAGCAGTATTACCAATTGCACTATAGTAGTCATTAAAAATACTTGGAGTAGTCCTACAAGAAATAACTTGAGAATGACATTCAAAGAGTAGAGCCTGAAGAAGAAAATGAGTTTCCATTAGTTTTAAAATATATAGAATGCCTATTTACCAATGCGTTTGATATTTAAATGGATTCTGTACAAATGTTTTACTATAGATAGTCATTCTGTCTTCATTTTCACCAAGCAGTTGATTGAAGAGTCTGGATTTCTCGTGTTACGTTTATCACTGTAATCAATCAGTCATTACATTTTTTAAACTAATTTTGACCGATATGGTTTCTGTGCAGGTTTTATTTTCTAAAGACTGGTCTAACTCAAAATATTATTGTAAACCAGAGAGTACTAGTTAGTTGTTTCATTGTAGTTAAAAGTAGTGGTTAGTTTTGCTCAGATATTTTGGGAATGAAACAGTTGTCATTAATCAAAGTGGATAATTATCTCAATTTGATGCAAATTAATTGATTTTCGAAATATGTGCAACTGGAGGTGGGCCATGCAACTATAATCGTTCAGCGCTCTCCATGAGAATTAAAGGACCTGAACTCAGTCCTTTACATGGCCACAGATGCACAGATTCGAAGAGTCTTATATTTGAACAAAACTGATATATGGTACCTCCTGATTTTCAGTTATACCTCAGCTGAAGTTATTTTATGACGAATAAAACCTACAAATTCAATCAATCTCTACAAAATTCCTTCAACTAAAGATATAGTTCCTCTTCACTTATTCAAAAACATTAAATTAGAAGATTTATTCTTTGCTTCTTGATTTTAACTCAGACAGTCAGTCAGCTACAACGTAGGACCAGGCACATATATCCATCAGTCCAAGTTACAATACCTCATTAGCATAACAAGATGAACACCGAATTCAATAGTGGTAATATATAAAAGAAAGATTGCACATAAGGATATAGTACAGGAAGAAAGAATCAGTTGGTAGAAAGAAAGGTAGGAAGCAATTTTAATCTCACAGTTTAAGGGAAGGCAAAGAGTGTATATACCGACGCCATTGTGATTAACTCTGAGCCATATCATACCAGAGTCTGCAATACTTTAACTGATTTGTCTCACTGATTTTGGCAGACGGTATTTGTTTCTTACTTTATCGACTTAATGCTTTAAAACTAAATTGTTAGGTCAAAATTAACAAATTTTAAAGTTCATAAAATAAGTTATATTTACAAATCTCTTAATGATTGAGATCAAATCTTTTCGAATTTATTTGTCTTTCTGATTAAAGCTTCTTCAAGGGAATATTGGAAAGTGAAATGATGAAAGATAGATAAGTTTAATAGGATCTTATCTCAACATAGTGCACGCAATGTCGAGTCACCTAGACTAGTGGCCACATTGCAACTTTGTCGATAGCATTCGATCTGCACTAAGAAGGACTTGACACACATGACATTAATCACCCCCCAGTAATCAATCAATTGTGGATCTTTATATCAGGTTATTGTGCTACAAATTTTGCTATTTCTTATAGCATGAATTCAAGTGACTGTTGAGTGTATTGAAAGTGTTTCATATGATATATATATTGTGTGGATCGAAGCAGTTAGCAGAATGCACTGGATATAACTTTCAGGCTAGTTATCATATGCTTTTAAGGTGCATATTCAATCTTGAGGGAATTAAAAGTGTTTGAAAAATCCAAACTCACATTACTGACCACACTGTCCAACGCGCTAATACTGAGCGATACGGTTGTAATTGAATTCGTATGGGACTGAGATATTTTCACTGAATGATTACTGAGTAGTATCCAGTGTCATGTGTGTCTATTTACCAGTTTTCATGACTTGACTTTTTGTGCACTAAATATTTTTGTGTTAGGTGGTTTTAGGCAATCTGTATGAAGTCATCAACCTGTATGAGGTGCTAGATGAAACTTTTCACAAAAATATATCTGAACTATAAGAAAGTGTAGCTAATATCAAGCTGTTTAAACTAGTAACTACGTAGGAACCTGATCGAAACCTAGTCGGTCACCAACAGGACAAACACGACCTTGTTTACATCACTCATTGTATTTTTTATCTGTATTCATGAAACTAAAGTTCCGATATCAATAAATCCTGCTTTTTTTAAGCCTTGTAGATGAAACTGACATGTGAACTATCAAAAATAATTAATCTTTATCATGGAGAGTTTTTTAAATGCAATTTATATTTAATGTCTTCTGTATAATATAGGAGAAAAATAAATAAAACCATTTGTCAACGTTTTGACGAAAATTCATTAAACTAATTGATACTTCATGTTATTGATTGAATTAAACTTAAACACAATTAGTATGACAATATTCACTGAATACAATCGAATCACTGGGTACTTCATTGATTTCTCACTGAATATATTCAAGACATTTGGTAATTGAAGGTATTTGGCAGGAAACTTTGTACCTAGATGCCATACCATTTGCCACTTGTCAACAACGTGTACTTGCAATCGTGAGAAAGCTGTTGCTACTTAGTGTATTCAATCACATGTTTTAGAGCTTCACGATGTGAGGTTTTACCGCTGATCTATTCATACTGATTCTAGTAGGACTGAGTAGTGGTCACTGTCATATTTATCTAGTCTGTTTAGTGTTGATCGAATTCTACCGATAAGCTTACTAGTGAGTATTAAAAACAGTAAAAAAGCTAGATTCAAAGTTTCTTGTCAACCAACTTCTACCCACTGACATTTCACCACACTACACGCGATGTCAAGTCACTTAGACTAGTGGCCGAATCGCGACTCGTTAAACAGAATACAGTCAGCACTATTAGAAATTGATCACTACATAATAATTAACAAAATGTCGCTCCATATCGGCTTCTACTTTTACTTGGTTCAAAATCCTAACATACCTACGGACAAGGAACTGATTCGGTCATCAGAAAACAGTAAATCATTTAGGTGGAATTGTAATGAAATTTCAATCCAAACTTCATGAGTAATGTGAGTCATCATTCAGGAATAATATAAAAGATAATGTTGCTTCATCATAAGATGAGGAGTTTACAAGAATATGAGGAAAATAGAGTAGAAACTGTATGAAAATGTCATACTAGCAGAATAGATATTTTCGATCGTAAATATTCACTAATCACGAGCATCAAAATAGAACAAAATGGCTGTTCAATACTAACTACTTGGTCTAATCTATTCTTCTAGAGGTCTCAGACTATTATAACAACTAATTATCTTCGAATTAAATAAATCTGTAAAACCACTTGATTAAATTCTGTATTAAAGTCTGTGTTAGAATCCATTTACCCATATATCTGTAAATAAATTTCACTGAAATGATGTCATAGAAATAAGAAAAAAAGGAAATTGTCAGAAGGAATAACACTTATTTTAATTAATTCAGTCGTCAATAAAAACAAATAACATTTCTTTTTTTAATTTTCTTCTAAACTCAAGTCTGTTCGTATACAAATTAAATTGGATTTGTTAGTTGAATAAAAATAACGAAATGTTTACGTTTACTTACGTCTGTTACCTTTCATGGAGGAGTATAGACTACCTACCAGCATTCTCCATTCAACTTTTTCTTTCGTTCTCCTCCTCAATTATTTATTTCCAAGTTCTATTCATCCTTTTCATGTCTGCTACCAATTCTTGACACAGTTTGTTCCTTAGTTTTCCTCTTTTTTTCGTTTCCCTTCAGGATTCTAAGTTAACTCTTGTCTCGTGATGCAAATGAAATATTTAATTGATCTTATATTTGATCACATGAAGCAAATATGATAAATGAGCAACTGAGATAAATAAATTTGCAATAGAGTTGATTACATTTAATGTTATTAAAATAAAAAAAAACTAATTTTCATTATTCTTGTCCCATGATAAATAATCAAATTTAAGAATATTGGAGATTAAATTAAAAACCATAACCAAGTTGATTTACATACTTCAATATTTCTGATTGATTGATGAACAGAATATAAAAATATGGTATTTCATAAACGTTTCCTGCAGGACTGGATATTCTTTATTCATTTCTGTTACTCGTGTGTATATGTGTGTGTATTTAAGCATATTTGTTTTCACTATACATCTACTCTGATATACCACCATATTGATGTTCATTCGGCCTTAAGAATAGAAAGATGACGTTGTAGTGTCTGTTGCTATGCTAAGCCCATATAGCTTGTTCTAGCTTTCGGACAGACCAATCTATTCATTCTTCTTGAGTCACATTTTGGCCTTTTTAACTATTCGCTTATCAACCTTGACTGTTTTTATGTAAGCGTAAATGCGTTCACTTTTTATTCTATTCATCACATGTTTGGAACTTATTTTAGTCTGACTATCAACATCGATTAACACGTGATTAAATTGAGTTGGCTCACATGCTTTCTCCACCGCGCATCATTTCGCTTCGCTCTCTTCTCTTCGCTTATGTGGATCAACGATTATATAAAATACATGTATTCGGAATTCATTCTCGTATTTGACTTTTTTAATTCCGTTATCCACTTAAGCGAGTTAAGTCGATGATTATATACGAGGATTGACGACATGTACATTTCAATAACAATCATTTTTACTATCCAATTGGAATCAGATATAGGATTACTAAAGTGGTGAGCCTGTCGACAACATCGTCCGATCTAATTGGCATTAAAATAACGGGCCACAGCCTACTTATGGTGTTTCATTTAAATCCGTTTTTAACAAAACTAAGTGCTGCGTAATTCCAGAAATGCGTAAAATCTAAAGCACAGGATTATTAATATTATTTCAAGTAAAGGAAATCACACCATTCAATGTAGTTTCATTGTTTACATAATAATGCTTTTATTAGTAGCAAACAAATACCACTAGAAATATTTCACCAAATTAAGTTTGAATAAGGAATATGCAGAATTTAACTTAAACATTTATACATTTATATATATTCCTTCGAAGTTTATCAATATATTTCATGAATAGTGCCAACCAATGACTTAATTGTAAAACTTCGGATATCAGTTTAATGAAACATTCAAACGTTTGATTGATAACTTAACAACTATTACAATATTTTTTTAAAATTTTGTCTATCAACATTTACCTAGGATGAACCTATTAATGTAGGTCTCAGTGATGAACATAATCCAGATTATGGAAAAGTGACAACAGAAAGTGAACCATGCTTTGATGCTGCTGACTTTATACGTGCTGGACGGGATATTTTTGCACAAAGAAGTCAAGTAAGTATTTGTTTTTTTCTTGTCATTTAATGAATTTTCTTTTCTAAATGAATGGATATGAACATTACGTATTCATACCATATATTGTGATTTTTTCACTACATCGAATATTATTTTTCGTAGACAGTATCAACAAACAAAAAACCCATTACGTCATTAAATAATAAACTCATATAATTCAGTAGAACAAATTTCTTATCAACGATATTACTAAATAAAACCGTATTGTCACATTTATAGTGGAATAAAAGGAGATCAATTCATAAAGTGTTTCGATATGTCAAATATCAAAAGAACGTAACGTAATTATCTTGATGTGAAATGAAAATGGGAAAACAAAAAATAATTTAGTGGTAGGAAATATGAGGGAAGGTAAAATAATTAACAGCTCAATACAGAAAGATCCCATAATCATCTTTCAAAATACTCCACACGATCAAACAAGAGTGACCAAAGAAAGGTCGAATCGAAAACCTGTGAACTCCTAAGGCTTTGACAATTCACCTATTCAGTACTGAACTTTACGTCTGAAAGCAACAGAGTCAATCACTCATTTTTTTGTAGCCCTAATATCTCTTAAATCATGACGGAACAGATATTGTAGTAGTTGAAACCGATTTTCCAAATTATTTTTAATTATAATTTCTTTGTATAATTACTGAGATACTAGGTTATTATGTTACATTTTTCATCATCAAACGATTCTGTTGGATCAATAACTACTGTCATACGATTTATTATTCCTAATTTCTTACCAGTCTATTACTAACAATCTCCACTATTCACAGACACTTCTGACTTGTTGGTATATAATTGTCAATAGTTCTGATCGGGTGTGTGTTTAACTGACCAAGTTGGAGACACTGAGCTATATAGTGAGTATTAGACCAAATTATAACCAGAATTCTGACTGGTGTCTTGTTATATGATATTAGTCAGACGGTCTACAAGACTTCACACCTTCAAGTATCTTATAGTCTTAATATGTTTTACTTTTTAGTCAGTATTCGGTTATTACTACCTTCTTAGGAATTTTCAGAACTGTTATTCAATTGTTATTATCATCTTTACTTTTTTATTTGTTCTTCATTTCTGTCAAGTAGGCAATTATCTCGTATGTTTCTGACCCGTAAGTTATTTTTATTTACCTATTTTCTTTCACCTCAAAAGCATAACGTTACCTTCTTTTGATACTTGACATATCTAGACACTTTGTGAATTAATCTCTTTCTATTCTTCTATAGACTCATATTTTCACTAAATCACTATAAATGTGATTGTACAGCTTTAATTGAATGAAATAATCTTAAACGAAGAGTTTTTTGCTGAATTACCTTAATTCTTTATTCAAAAGCGGTTCACAATTGACAATCAAGACGTAATCATATGTATTAAATAACTATTTATTCCAGGTTTAAAATAACTTGAAGGTCTATATCTTCAATTAGTTTTCAAATTGAATAAAAAAACCTTTTAAATTTTCCAATGTTTTTGAATTTTTGTAAAGAACGTGAAGTCATTAACGTTTAAAACGATGGTTGTTGTTGAAATGTAAAATGAGTTATAAAAAGGAAATATACAAGTTGAGTTTTCTTGACAAATAGACACGAAAGAGTTTGTCACGTTAACCTTGACTTCTTTCTAATATTCTTAATAAGAATATACCCTAACTTTACTTACTGGTATAATATTAATAAATTATAGAGAAACTAAGCAGAGATGGATAGTGGCTAGCAGTAGAATTCACGACGCGCGTTTTGTCCTGTTTGGGACTAGTCAGCCGGATGTACTTGCAACCCAGAGTTGATGTTCACTGTTTATGATGCTTATGACTTGACAGCACTATCGAGGCAATCCGCAGAGGATGCACATATGCCAAAAAGATAGTGACAGATTACAGTCATCGCCATTAATTAGACTATTTAAACAACTAATGCAAAAGAATTATAAAGAAGATAGTGTCTTGCTATTCTGAATAAATAAATTAAGTTAAACATTAACATACTACATTGTACTTTGAACAACAGCTAACATCGGAATTCAATCAGTTTTGTATGTGAAAATCATCAATTGAATGGATATACTTTCTTAGCACTGTCAATAATACAATGTACAAAGTTGTATAATCGTTAACAGTTTACGATTTCATTAAAATCAAGCCTATCTGACTAAAGTTGCTACATATCAAATAAAGAATTCTCGATTGAGCTTGATAGGCTTACCGTAAAAAAAATTAAAGGTGTATAGAAATGGCAATCAGGTTATGTTTAGCCGTGTGAAAACATTAGTTTCCATAAGAAATGAATTTCCTATATGTTTTTGTTATGACCTTCAATCTCTTAAAATTTCATTTACTTGGGTAATAAAATTAGATAGTTCATTAGTTGCAAGTGCTCATACGCTGATCAAATCAGTAGCTTTCTTCAAATCAATAACACAACTGACCTCCCACAATAACCAGAACCCCTTTAACTCCTATTGGTCCACACATTTCCTTCTGTCCTCAACAGTTAGTAAAAAGATGGAGATAACAAGTCAGTATTCACCTTATTGCTGTATTTTCTCATCATCTTGCTGACTAAAAAAAAAATCCACAGAACGTTATATTTCGATAACATGGTGATAACACTCCACAAATAAGAAATTAAAATATGTACATGATTAAGCTAAAAACTGCGCAATAAGTTTTTGATAAATTAACGATAATTGAAGAACGGCAAAATATATAACAATAGTTAATAAATGAAATGAAAGCTTACAACAAGAGTTATACGAAAATACAATAACCTTAATATTCAATAATTAAATAATAAGAACAGTTATTACAGCTCTTAGTAAGGCGATCCTAAAGGTCCTATCTTTCTCAATTATTCATATTAATCTATCAGCTTTATTTCATTGTACAACTAAGTGTTGTGAATACTAACCACACTTTTAAGTACCTATAGTTCTTTCGGTTGCCTGAGTGAAGTTCAGGAAGAGTAGAACTACAGAATTGTAAAATAATTTCTCTTGGAATACTTTTATACGTTTAATTATACAACTAGAGAAACAATCCCCATTCAAATCAAATTGGTTTGTCAGAAATTTCATGCAATTGGTTCCCTTTATGAATTTAAATAGAGCAAGAACAAACATCGATGCAGAATAGTATGAATTCATATTATTTCGAGGTTTCTCGTCAGCTGTTTCTAGCTTATATATATATAGTTATTATTGTAATCAAGTTATTTACACTCATTTATGTCAATTGTTTCACACTATCTCCATGTAAAATTCTATCACAATTTTGGTTTGTAAGCAGCTGACGAGAAACCTCGAAATAATATGAATTCATACTATTCTGCATCAATGTTTGTTCTTGCTCTATCAAATTGGTTTGGTTAAAAATATCTATTAGGTGAAGTAGACGGTTTTATTGCTTATATTTAATGTATCTTTTATGATCTTATCATACAATAAGTAATTATCCTTATGATTTCGAGTGATATATTATAATTACTTTGATCTTTATTCTTGTTAGGTCACAAATTTATCAGGAATCGAATGGGTTAGAAGACATTTAGAGCCTCGTGGTATAAAAGTTCATAGGCTTTCATTTGTTGATCCAAGACCAATGCATATTGATGCAACTTTTACTTTAGTTAAACCTGGTATAGCTATTCAAAACCCTGATCGTCCATGTCATCAAGTTGATTTTATCAGAAAAGCCGGTTGGCAAGTTATCGACGCACCACAACCATTAATGAAAAAAGGTGAGTACTAATACATGATAGATCGACCGAATGTAGTTACTGAAATATCGGGAGGTATTTAAATTGTAAACGGTTAGCAGTAAACAAGTATGACGATTGATGAATGTAGATTGGCTAGATAGAACGATATCTTAACAGTTCACAGACTTGATTTTCAATCAGTAGATGACATGTTAAGCTACGATTGAAAATGCGTACTAACATTAGCTATCAAACATTAGTGTCTTTTATAAGTGAATACAGAGACTTGTACCAAAGTAATAAGTTACTTTAACAGTTAATATCACTACATTTTTATTTTCAGTATTTATTATTTGAATATATCTTAAATTTATTATTATGGTTTAATAACAGAGAATAATTACTATTCTTAAAATTTTTCACAATACTCAATCCCCTCATTCACTCAGCTGTAGCTAATCTGAGAGTAAATGGTTATCTCGGACGGGAAAATTCCCTATCTCCTTTTTTGAAGGCTAAATAAACAAGTGTTGTCAATACACATATATCTAAGGTTTTTAGAAATGGGGTACCTACACGGTGTACTAAAATGAAAGTAGATAAAGAAATAAATAGCAGAATCAGTAGATACGAAAATTGTATACGGTGTAGAAGCGATCTGCAGACATAGGTTAGTAATCATGTTTCATTGACGAATAATTGTAATATTCATTACTTTATTTGGTATTAAATAATAGATTGATTTGCTTGAAAAGTATCTGTCTTTCTTATTCTGATGTTTTGTGTGCAAATCAATTAGTTTTCTGTCAATCAAGTTGACTTTATGGAGCACCCATCAAATAGCCTTTACACTTTATGTGATTTATAGATAGCATCTGAGGACCGAAATACAAAACATACATGATCCGTACTGACGAAGTGCATTGTGCAAGAGTAATATATAGTAATTATTTTCTAGTAACCGGTTTCAATCTGCCATCTTCCCTGTCAGTGAGAAATTTTAAAATATTGAGTATAACCTGTTAAAATAAAAAAAGGAATTTGTAATGCAAAATAATTCCCTACTTTTTATTTTCTAACATATAGATCATGAAATGTGGCTTGGTTCCAACTGGTTATCAATGAATGTCTTGATGTTAGATCAGAAAAGAGTAATTGTAGAATCTGAAGAGACAGGGATTCAAGAAATGTACAAAAGTATAGGAATTAAACCGATCAATGTAAAATTTAAATATGCAAATTCGATTGGAGGAGGGTTTCATTGTTGGACGTGCGATATAAGACGGCAAAGTAAACTAGAATCATATTTCGACTGGTCCAAAGGTGAAATACCACGAATTTGAAAAATATATGTATGCAATCAATGAATGTAAGATGTAGGAACGTTTTTGATTTCCCTTTTGTACTATTGTTATTGTTAAAGATAAATATAATGTATTTGACTTGTGGAAATACAAATATAATCTAACATTAAAATTACGACTACATGTTCTGTGGTTTATTTCATGGCTATTGGATTCAGAAGTGGTTGACAATTTAATACCTGTATGTGACTCTAATATAACTGGACGACAGTGGTGCTACTGAGGTGTATGAACTATTTAGCTAATCACATTCATACAATGTAGAAACAAAACGTCGGGTTGTATCTATGACAAGTATATAAGTATCAGTGCCATGGTTGAATTCGATAGTTTCAAATAGAATGAGGTTTGGGTAGAAAGTTAATAATAAATATATTTTTGCTATATCCCAATGAGTAGAAAAGTTGTATTTCTGACGTTTCGTGACTTAATGTAAGCCATTTCTTCAGCGTAAATAAATAACCCGTTATTTATTTGCTCAGAAATACAACTTTTCTACTCATTGGGATATAGCAAAAATATATTTATTATAAGACATGTATACTTCGGATATTCATGCTAGCAAAGAAACTTAACGAGTGAAGATGGACATCGAATAGATGCAAGTTGGAGGCCAGCTTTACACTGATTCCGTGAAATAAGTTTATTAAAACAGTCAAAGAGCAATATGGATAAATGGAGATAGGCATGGATCCATACAATGAAAGCAATAACGTTACAATTTAAAAAATACAAACGTCATATAATGTCACACAATTATTTGCACGTCACATTGATTTGCGATCCGATCCGAGCATAAATATGTCACTACATTTAACTTTTTACCTGGAGCAATATATACATATAAAGTGTCAATGCTCAAGAAATACACCGAATAATAAACCACAAAAAGTTGAATGTGATAAGCATCCAAATAACGTTATTTCATATTATGTCTTGTGGACGTTCTGACCAAATCAAGAGACATGACACCAATCAGAATTCTGGTTATAATTTGGTCTAATACTCACTATATAGCTCAGTGTCTCCAACTTGGTCAGTTAAACACACACCCGATCAGAACTATTGACAATTATATACCAACAAGTCAGAAGTGTCTGTGAATAGTGGAGATTGTTGGTAATAGACTGGTAAGAAATTAGGAATAATAAATCGTATGACAGTAGTTATTGATCCAACAGAATCTTTTGATGATGAAAAATGTAAACATAATAACCTGGTATCTCAGTAATTATACAACGAAGTTATAATTATTATTAATTTAGAAAGTCATTTTTAATTACTGCAAAATCTGTTCCGTTATAACACTTCAAAACGTTGATAAAATAATTTAGTTGAAAGCATAAAATAAATATGACCCGTGTTAATGTCAATTATATAAATCAAATGTTGTAAGAGGGAGTGACATGAACATGATATCAGTATTGAACAATGCTAAAATGTCATTTTTATGCGAATGTGCATGTAATGATGCATGACAAAATATTTTAGTACATATATGTTTAACAATTTAATAAACTTCAAAGATTAGTAATGATAAGCTTGAATAGAGTGAAGTGAATAGTCGCAGACGAGCAAAAAAAAATCATTAACAAATAATTAAGTCTTGTTGTGTGTCAGGGAGTTATCCACTGAAGACAATGGAAGATGGTCGTGCAATATTGTGGATTGACATTAACATCTTTTGATCTCGACCTGTTGGTCTAGAAGTTAATGTTCGCGAGCGAGAAACTAGGTCCTGGGTCCGGTCCCTTGTGCAAGTGTCATAGTTGCGCACTGCTGAAAGGTCCCATATAGCAATCCAGTGCTTACAGCTTTTTAATGGTGATCTAAGATTGGGCTATGATCCCAATGAAAGACAATTGTCTCCGTATTTCCTTGCTTAAAAACACGTAAACTTGTTAAACAAATTGTTTACAAGTTTCCTTCACAGATGGCATGAGGTTTCTATAAATAGGATGTCAACTCAGTCAAACCAGAAGTTATAAAACAAGGAGTTCGAAGATGTGTTAGGATGCGTATTATCTATGCTGGTTAGTAGTCACAACGGATGCGTAGCAGGACATACTCGTTATTTAGTGAGGATGTACGATCGGAAATCTTCAGCTAGGATATGTTCAATAAAACCAATGAAGTCAGAATCAACTCTGAAGGCTTATATAGCTATTTATTATAAGGATTTATTTAGCGCCTCTCAGTAAATGGATTCCTGTTGAATATGTATTAGTAGGGTGACCAGAAGCACAGAATAGTGACCGTGAAAATGAAATGCCCGAAGTTGTATTTTTTATTGTAAATCTGTAGTGGCATTGGGTCCTAACCACACAATCCTCCCTTATTCATGTTAAATATATTGTTCTATCTCTGGCATAAGCTCGTTCTCCAACATATATTGGCGGTTGTTGCGAAGCAATGAATTGGTGTAGACGATTATGTGACTTCTACGTAAGATCTTTTAGATTAGGCA